GCCAACACCTGGAAGGCGCAGTCGAGCTGCCACGACAAGCTGGACTGGCTGGACGATCCCTGTGCCCTCAACATCGAGAGCGGTGAGGCCTGCCCCTGAGGCGGGAGACTCAGCCTTGAGGGGCGGACGGGCCCCTTCGGATACGATGAGGAGAGGCAGCCGTCCACTGCTGCTTCCTGCTGCGGCGGGTTTACGATGGCCCCGTGGCAGCCTGCCAGGCGAGCCAGCCGAGGTCCAGGCGACTCATCGTCCCTGGGTGGTGGCCCTGGCGCTGCCGTGGCACATCCTGCTGCCCAGCCCATCACATCTGGGTGCCGGGCCCTGGGAGGCGGAGAGAGGAGGGGGCGGGCGCCCTGCATGGGATCCCGTCCCGCTTGGAGCTGCCCAGAGGAGTTCTGACCAGGGACAAGGGGCCCTGGGCCTGGGTCCCCGGAGCCCGTCCACTCCAGGCCAGGTGCCCGGGCGGCCGGGCGCAGGGCCATGGTGGGGTAACCCGGCTGAGGCCCTGCCCTGCTCTCCAGCCAACTACGCCGAGCACTGGTGTTCCCTCCTGAAGAAGACAGAGACGCCTTTTGGCAGGTGCCACTCGGCCGTGGACCCCAGCGAGTTCTACAAGGTAGGTGCGACCCGCGTGCCCTGGACGCCTCCCTTCATACCGCGTGTGGGGTCCTGAGACCCATGGAGGCGTGCTTGGAGGGTCAGCCAGGTCGGTCAGCTGCCGAATGAGCATGTGCGTGTGCCTGTGAGTGCCAGCCTGTGTGTGCGTGTTGACGTGTGTGCATGTGGCGGGGGGGGCACTCGGCCCCCCTCACCGTCCGCGTCTGCCTTCCACCCAGAGGTGCAAATATGACACGTGCAACTGTCAGAACAACGAGGACTGCATGTGCGCTGCCCTGTCTTCCTACGCCCGCGCCTGCGCCACCAAGGGCGTCATGCTGTGGGGCTGGAGGGAGCGTGTCTGCAGTGAGTGCCGCCCCCCGCCAGCCGCGTCCTGGGGGCAGGGTCCAGGCTCAGCGCTGGAGACCCTGAGAGTGGGCGGTCCAGGGAGAGGGGTCGGCTGCCTGCTGGCTGCGTCCTGGGGGCAGGGTCCAGGCTTAGTGCTCCATAGAACGGGGCTGGGGACTCCAAGTGTGGGCGGTCCGGGGAGAGGGGTCGGCCTCTGCAGGCGGTGGGCAGACCCCATCTTCGTCTGCCAGGAGTCGTGAAACCAGCCCCCGACCCCCTGACCCCTGCAGTGAGGGGCGGTGGCCGGCAGGGATGGGGCTTGGAGCTGCAGCAAGCTGGGTGGGTTGGGGTCCCGGGGTCTGCACCCCTGCCCCTTTGGCTGGGCCAGTGTCTGCCCTCCTGGTAGAGTGGGGCCCAGGACAGCCTGCGGGAGGCGAGCCAGGGGTCTGGCCCCTCCCGCCGCTCATGCTGCCCCCACGGCCCCCTCTGCAGACCAGGACGTGGGCTCCTGCCCCAACTCCCAGGTCTTCTTGTACAACCTGACCACATGCCAGCAGACCTGCCGCTCCCTCTCGGAGGCTGATGCCCACTGTCTCGAGGGCTTTGCGCCCGTAGACGGCTGCGGCTGTCCCGGCCACACCTTCCTGGACGAGAAGGGTCGCTGCGTGCCCCTGGCCAAGTGCTCCTGCTACCACCGTGGCCTCTACCTGGAGGCGGGGGACGTGGTCGTGAGGCAGGACAAGAGATGGTGGGTGCCGGCTCGGCGTGGGGGGCCGCCAGAAAGGGCTGCGGGAGCCTGGCGGGCTCTGAGGGCCGCCTGCTCACATCTGTCCCGTGAGGGGCCGGGCCTGGGCCCTGCTCACCGGGCCCCGCC